TTTTTTTTTTAAATATTTAAAAAAAAATCCAATATAATATTTTTAAAATTCATTTAAATTTTCAGTAAAAAATTTGTTGGTATGATATGAGACAAATTCTTTTGCAAACATCTTTTAAAAATATATTACGTAAAAATTTTTGTTTTTTTTTAATTTCTTCTAATCAAGATCTTCCTAATCATTTAAAAGATTGAATAAAAAATTTATATTTAAATATCAAAAGGATCAAAAAAAAGGTTTAAAAAAATCAAAAATAAAAAAAAAATAAATATTGTTTTTCAACATAATCTTCTTCATCAATGTACGTTTCTTCATTAATTATCAAATATTATACAATTAAATATTAATTAATATAATATAGTATAAAATTATTATATATAATATATATAATTATATTATATATTAATATTTATGTTTTATGTATTTATAATTATAAAATATATTATATATAATTATATACAATTTTATATAATATAATATAATTAAATAAAAAAATTTCAAAAAAAAAGAAAATTTGAAAAAAAATTAATTTATGCAAAATGTGTAAAAATAGTTTATTCAATGAACTTTTTTAAATAAATTCTTTCAAATAACAATATTTTAAATTTAAAAATAAAAATAAAAAAAAATATAAATTAAAACGCATTTTAATATGAATATATTAAACTCAAAAATTATAATCTTTGAAATAATTTTTTAAAAATATATATATATTTCTAACAGTATATATGAAATATTTGATATTGTAAAATATTAAAGATATATGTTTATGAAAATATAAAATAAATTGCTGAAATTTTTTTAAGAAAGAAAGATTGGAACCTTTATTTTTTTTTTTTTTCAATTAAATTGTTCAGATTAAAATATATTTGTAATCAAAATCAACTTTGAAGAAATTGTTAAAAGAAAAAAACAAAAAGATGGATCATTTTTTCAGAATATATATAAATATATATATATATATATATATATATATATATATATATATATATATATATAAAATAAAATTATTTCGATTAGATTTTTGGCTTTTCATTCAAGTAATCTGCGAAAATGAAGATATCGATAAAAAAAAAATCTTGTAAAAAAAATCAAAAAAAGAAATGAAATTGCATTTTGTCTATCGGTTCAAATTTTTTAGGAAAAAAAAGTCCAGTTGAAGATATTTAAAATGTTTTTTTGAATAATGCAATATTTTCTGATCAATCGTTCTGCGAATTACATTTTGGCTATAACCAATAAATTTCTATCTGATGGTGTCGAATTTGATCTGACTTATATCACAATGGCAGAAAATCATGCAAAAAAAATCGCTCGTATTTTAATTCCAATTTTGAATAAATTTTCTCTTCATACATATTTTTATTTTTTCAAAATGCTAGTTTTTGAAAAATTTTTGAATTATAATTTAAAAATTAATCATATAAGAAAATTCTCTAATGTTCTGACTTTGGTCTTACTAGGCTAAAAATATTTTCTCCTGAAACAAAGCTAATATTCTAATAAAAAAAATCGTCACTAAATGGATTGAAGGTTTGGCTAGTGGTTAAAATTAATTAAATGGAATACAGAAGTTCTGTTTTGATTAAAGGATAAAATCTTGCTAATATTTGATTTTGTTTCGATCAATCAATCAATAAAACATTTTTAAAATAACATTATTTTTTGGTTATAAATTTTAAACATAAATCCCAGTTATTCATTAAATAAAGAATTTAATTTTTAAAAAACAAAACAAAACAGACGTACGAAAACAAAAAAAAAAAAAAAAAAAACAAAAATTTACCAAAAATATATATGGAAAATAAGGAAAAGATTTTAAGACAACAGTTCTTCAAAAAATAGAAACTTTTTTAAAAAGGAATCGAAAAAAAATATCTATTATTACCTTCCCAAACCAAAACAAATTATTTTTTAAAAAAACGATCAAGCTGATCTCAAAATGCAAACATGAAAATTTGAAATTTTTTTTTATATTAATTAAATATATAAATATTATATATAATATAAATAAAATAAACAAAAATAAAATTAATATAACTTAAATAAATAAATTACTACGTTAAAAAAAAAATAAAAACCGAAATTTGTAAATAAAAATATACAAAATAAAAAATAAATATAAATAAATTAGAAAAAAAAAATGATATTCAATATTGTGTAATCCAAATAAACAAATAAATGAACAAATTAAATTTATTTATTAAAAATTATTGTTATTAAAAAATAAAAAATAAAAAAAAAAAAATAAAAATTAAAATAAATTTTGCAAAACAAGTAATAATAATAATCTTTTAAATAAATAAAATAAAATTTAATAAAAAAAAAAAAAAAAAAATAGGAAGAAAAAAAAGAAAATATAGTACAAAACAATCAATCGAAAATGGGACGAATTTTTTTATCTTTTTAGACCAAAACAAACTTTAAATAAAACCTTTTCCGTTTTTTTTTTTTTATGTTAATAAAACATCGAAAACGGAAAATAATAATAATAATATAACAATATATATATATATATATATATATATATATATATATATATATATATATATGGATAAAAAATTAATTGGAAAATATTTTTTTAGTGTTTTTTTTATTTTTTTAAGTGGAAAAGAAACTTTATCAAGGCTTTTTAATATTATACTTAGAATTGTATGAATTCATCCTTTTATTTGGCTTTTTTTTTCGCTTTTAAATTTGCCAGCTAGATGAATTGACAAACGCGTTGCTTAAAACGACTAATAAAATATATTTTCAATTGTCTTTTTATATAAATTGTTTATTATATATAATTATTATAGAAATTTAACTTTTATATACAGTATATATATATATATATATATATATAATGTATATAGGATACCCAAGATCCTAATGTACAGCCAGTTAGATCAGGGCTACAGGAATGTAGGACGCCCATGGCTAAGATACAAAGACAAGCTGAAAAGCAACTTGTCAGCAGTCAATATACCACATAACACCCTTGAGCGCTTAGCTTTGGAGCGGGTAGAATGGAGATCAACGTGTTTTAGTGGACTCAGCAATTTTCAATCTGCTTGTCTGAATCATCTTCAAGAAGCGAGAGCAAGCTCTAAAAGGTCAGCCAATCTAACAGTGATCTCATCTCACAATCCTCACACTTGCTCCATATGTGGCCTCCTTTGTAAATCACTAGCGGGTCTTAAATGCCACTTAAGATTATCGCACAAAATTTCATAACTGAATCAATAAGCTGTCAGATCCTCATACGTCGAAACCGACGGGAGAGTCGTCTACGGAAATTTTTCCTTATTATGTAAGAGGAATCGAGTGTGTGTATTTAATAGTTTTCTTATTGCGCTAGTTGATGAGTTAGACGCTTGCTTGTGGTCATGTGTTCAATATATTCGTCTTTAGTTTAACTTAGTAGGGACGATAAACTTCTGAAGATGGCGGGTCTGGAGTTTAGATCATATTGGTGTGGTATTATGGGTAATTATCAAGTTGGAAGTTATTAATTTTGTATAGTATATAATGGCTTTTATACGTTAGTTGGGATCTACAGGGAAAATGCATTGTTTTATGTTTCGCCGCATGGAGAATTCATCTTGTTAATCGTTTTTAGGCAATATGGCTGCAGTAAAAAGAATTCAACGACATGTAATATTGCGAAATATTGTAATATATATGTGTTAGATTTTTAAAATGTACTATTAAAAGTATCAATGTCTCATATTTTGATTTCTTTTTGAACTGTGATAGAATTGCTCCGGGTGTTTTCAATTCTGAAAATGAATTCTAATAGAGGAATCATATTACTGACACAATTACTTTCAAGAAGAAAATTTCCAGACAAGTAACGGATATATATTTGGAATCAATCATACGTATAGAAAAAAAAGTGAGGAAAATTTAAAGACGCCATATATGACTGACATCGAAACGTTAAATGACGACTCACATTTGATATATATATATATATATATATATATATATATATATATATATATATATATATATATATATAATAATATTAATAAAATATTTTTTCTCATTCAGGATTTATTTTAATTTTAACGTCAGTGTTTGAAATTGTCATTCATTGTATTATGAGTAATTATGCGAGGTAAGGAGATATGTCGCATGTAGTCTTTCTTCGTTGTAAGTCAGGCCGTAGATTCAACGAAAATAAACATACATCAAACTGATTCCATCAATTTGTCTGAAGACGTTCTTTACCGGAACGAAAATTGTCACTCAACAGTTATATATCTTGTTATTCATTTGTCCATTATGGATCAATATGAAATCAATTATGGAAACATGATATCGATAGGTTTGAAAGAATCTATCTATCTATCTATCTATCTATCTATCTATCTATCTATCTATCTATCTATCTATCTATCACAGTCTTTTTTTTATTTCTCTCTCTCTGTATTTACACACACATATATATATATATAATACATATATATATATATATATATATATATATATATATATATATATATATATATATATATATATAATATCTATATTTTCTTATCTCTCTCTCTCTATATATATATATATATATATATATATATATATATATATATATATATATCTCAGAACTGAATAGAGGGTAAAATGAGATAGAAATCAATGTTGCCTTATTATTGCATTTAAATAATTGAGGTATTTTCTTCCACATTCTGAGTTTATATATATATATATTTCCATTATCTATCTATCTATCTATCTATTAATATATTATCTATCCGTTTTTATTAAATTGCTCGTGGATTATCGTAAAGTTATAATTACATTTTTTTATATTTAATGGTTTAAGTAAAATTCTCTCTCTATATATATAAATATATATATATATATATATATATATATATATATATATATATATATTTATATATATATTTTTATGTGTATATATATGTGTGTATATATATGATTTTATATATATATTAAGCAAACATATATATATATATATATATATATATATATATATATATATATATATATTATTTATAATAGATAGATATAGAATAGATAAGATAGATAGATAGATAGATAGATAGATTAATATGATTGAGAGAGAAAACAAAACTTTTTTCCAGACAGGGTGAGATATAACGAAAAAAATGCATGGGAATACCTATGTATAAATAAGTATATACGTCCTTACCTCTGTAAATATCCATATACACTTATCTAAATGTACGAATCGATGCCTTCCCTCTCGGCTAATATAGATATTTATTTAGCTTATCTTGTATATTTTTCAGATGCTTTTCCTTTCTCTCTTGTTCTTCCCATCGTTTTTTTTTTTCTCTGCGAGATTTTCGGCTCAATCAACGTCGCATTATTGAAAAACAAGATGCAATTTTATTCATTCGAATGGGAAATCATCCGCTTCACTGACTTCCCGTCCACGGCGAAGACAAAAGCAGTGACAGTGGAAGGTGAAAAGAGAGAGGGTGGGAGAGAGAGAGAGACAGGAGAAAGTGGAAGAGGAAGAAGAAGGAAACAAAGAGGGGAGGGAGAAAGAGAAAGAGTGACAAAGAAGTGACAAAAGAAGATAACAGCAAATGGGTGTGACAGAAAAGAAAGAAAGAAAGAAAGAAAGAACTAAAGGAAGAAAGAGAGAAACAAATAAATAAATAAATAAATAAAGAAAGAAAATCGAAATATTATGGCCATTCAATATTAATGGAATCGAGAGGCAGAAAGAATCGGAGAAGAATGGAAGAAGAAGACGAAAAAGAAGAAACCTATATGAGAAAGAAAGAAAGAAAGAAAGAAAAGAGAAAAAAAAAGAATGAGAGAAAGAAAGAAACCAAAACATTATGGTTATTCAATAGTACTGGAAACGATGGGAAATAATAGTAATAATAATAATAATAATAATAATAATAATAATAATAATAAGAAGAAGAAGAAGAAGAAGAAGAAGAAAAAGAAGGAGAAGAAGAAAACTAAAAATAAAAAGAAAAAGAAGTAATATATCAGAAAGAAAGAAAGAAAGAAAGAAAGAAAGATGGAAAGAAAAAAAGGCGAATATTGAGAATAATTTAAAGAAAGAAATAAAACAGTCAACGGTGAATGAAAAACCTAGGAAGAGACAAAAGAAAGATGAAAAGTAATTGTGAATGAACGGGAAATAAATAAATAATTAAATAAATAAATAAATAAATAAATAAAGAAAGAAAGAAAGGTGAAGATGAAAGACGATAACGAAGAAGTGAAAAAACACGAAATGGAATAAAAATAAGGGAAAGAAAGAATGTAATGAAAAGAAAAGACACTAAATGGAAATGAATGACAAAAGAAAAAGAAACACTAAATAAGAAAGAAAGAAAGAAAGGAAGAAAGAAGTAAGAAGAAAGAAAGGAAGAAAAAAGAAAGAAAGGAGGAAAAAAAGTCATTACAATGAGGAAAAACAGGCAGGAAAGAAGAAATACAAAATGTGAGTGAAATAATAAGAGAAAAAAGATTAAATGAGAAAGAAATAAAGAAAGGCAACAAAGAAAATGACTGAACGAGAAAGAAAAAAAAAGACACAAAGTTAGAGACTGAGAAGCCAAAGATGAAAACAAATTTATACAATGAGAATTAAGAATTGAGAAGCACAAAGATCAAAAATAAATAAGAAGGAAATTGAAAAGAAAGAGAGGAAAAAGGAAGAAAAGAAAAAAGAATCGAGAATGAATGAAAGAAAGAAAAGAAAGAAAGAAAAAAAAAAAAAAGAAAAAAAAAAAGAAAGAAGAGGGCGAATAAAAAAAAAAAAAAGAAAAAAAAAGAAAGAAAAGAAAAAATTTTTTTAAGAAAGAAAGAAAAAAAAAGACAGACAGAGGTTTGAATAAAAAATAAGATAAGAAAAGAAAGAAAGAAAGAAAAAAAAATAGAAAGAAAAAAAAAAAAAAAAAAAAGAAAAAAGAAAAATTCTTCGGAAATTGAAAAGAAAAGAAAGAAAAGAAAAAAAAAGAAAAAAGAAAAAAAGAAAGAAATCAAGAAAGAAAGAAAAAAGAAATAAAAAAACAGACAGAGGCGAATAAAAATAAGATAAGAAAGAAAGAAAATAAGAAAGAAAGAAAGAAAGAAAGAAAAAAGAAAGAAAACAGAGGCGCGTTTGATAAGATAAGATAAGAAAGAAATGAAAGAAAGAAAGAAAGAAAAAGAAAGAAAGAAAAAAAAAAAGAAAGTCAAATGTAACGAATAAAAAAAAAGAAAAGAAAAGAAAAGAAAAGAAAGAAAGAAAGAAAGAAAAGAAGTAAAGAAAGACAGACAGAGGTGGGTGAATAAGATAAGAAAGAAAGAAAGAAAGAAAGAAAGAAAGAAAGAAAGAAAGAAAAGAAATAAAGAAAGAAAAGAAATAAAGAAAGACAGACAGAGATGGGTGAATAAGATAAGAAAGAAAGAAAGAAAGAAAGAAAGAAAGAAAGAAAGAAAGAAAGAAAGAAAATAAGAAGAATAAGGAGAAGAAGAGGGTGACCGTGGAAGAGGTGGAAATAGAAAGGACATGCGCAGAGGATAGAGAGTGTATACAGAATTCAGATTAGAGCCCCTTTGAGATTCTCTCACGGTGAAGTATGTGCATGTGTGAGTGATATGAGACGAGAGTGGGAGAGGTCGATAAGGAGCGAGGGGGGTTTTGAGAACGTGACGGAAGGAAAAGGCGTCGTCGGTGGCACTGAAATTCACTTTACTCTTTGTGTAAAAATCTAATATGTTTCTGCAAATGAACGCGCAATGAAGGTAAATTTGTCCGATGAATGAAATGATCGGAATTTATAAGGCGTTCAAGTTGTAAATAGAAACACGCCCCGGGTTTTACGGACAGTTTTCTGACACACGCAATTCTATTTATAAGTCCATCTCAATACATTGACAAGATTCGTCATCCAGAAAACTTGAGCAGTAGTGAAATGGCAGGTAATAAGTAAAATAACTATTGATATCTATCTCAATCTGTTACTTTCTTTCTATCTAACTGTTCATTAAGAATTTATCTCAATGTGAATTATCTATCATTATGTATCTATCGGATCATTATCTACCTATCTATCTAATTGATCATTATGCATGTATATATGTAATGATTTTCCAAGCGTAGCTTGGATGTGGCACAAGGCCGAAAGTGAGGGGCACCCAGTGAGGATCGAACTCACTACTCATTCGTAATTGTTTTAGCGTGACAAGCTTGCTAAACATTACACCACCTCGAGGCACCCAAGCAGGCATATATGTATGTATATATTTGTCTATCTATTCATTATCTGTCTATCTGCTCATTGCTTAACTGTGCATTATCTATCTATCTATCTATCTATCTATCTATCTATCTATCTTATTCTGTTCATTATCTATCTATTTCATCATTTTTCTGTCTTGGTCCCTTCATTATCTATCTATCTATCTATCTATCTATCTATCTATCTATCTATCTATCTATCTCAGTCTGCTCATCTATCTAAGTCTGCTTTTATCTATCTATCTATCTATCTATCTATCTATCTATCTATCTATCTATCTATCTAAGTCTGCTCTTATCTATCTATCTATCTATCTATCTATCTATCTATCTATCTATCTATCTCAGTCTGTTCATATCTATCTATCTATCTATCTATCTATCTATCTATCTATCTATCTATCTATCTAAGTCGGCTCTTTATCTATCTATCTATCTATCTATCTATCTATCTATCTATCTATTTCAGTCTGCTCATCTATCTATCTATCTATCTATCTATCTATCTATCTATCTATCTAAGTCTGATCTTTATCTATCTATCTATCTATCTATCTATCTATCTATCTATCTATCTATCTATCTATGTCAGCCGAAACAAGTGATGACCTCTTACGTAATATCAGTTCACTTATATGACACTGAATGATGGACTTTGGCACAGATGAAGAAAACGCTTAAATTATGAGAAAATGGAAAAAGAAAATGGATGGGAAAAAATATAAAATGGAGAAAAAAAAATGAACGCTGCACCCGACGTGAGATTGCGTTTAAGCATGAAACATACTGCTGCCACCCGCCGAGTGTTGACATATATGTCCAATTTTATATATTTAAATACGCTCTTTTACGCAATTTTATATATTTAAATACGGTCTCTGATATTGACCATTTTAATCCATAAATGTAGCATACCTTAAAATTATATTTTTCTCGTCTGTACAGGGTTCGATGGATAAATTTTCGTCTAAATTACGCAAAAGGAAAATAATACTGACATCACATTTTGACAAAGATATTTACCAAAATTTCACAAAATATCTTGAAATACTAAAGAGTAAATTTTATCATTAAAATCGCCATTGGCTTCAACCATGGCCTCCAGATGACTTCGGAATCTCCTACAATTTTTCTGGATGGTCTCCTTGGTAAATGCTGTCATAATCCTTGTCTTCAGTTCATCTTTGGTGGTACAAGGAGTTTTGTTGGTCTCTCGCTCAAGTGCACCCCACAAAAAAAAATCAAGGGGCCTCGATTGTTAGGTAGCCATATGTAGGGGGCGATGTGGTCGCAGAAATTGTCTGAATTCCATAAATGGATTCTCTTGCTTGTGGGACAAGATACAGAGTCCTGTTGCCAGAAATAGCGTCTTCCAGCAGCCACTCTCTGAACCAAATGTAGCAGTACTTCCTCAACGCACTTAATGCAGGCCTCCGTGTTAAGTCTAAGGCCCTGTGGCAAAATGTTTGGAGTGATTACTAATGATGGCAACGGTATGCCACTATAATAACGTTTAATATATGAAAAAATCAGATTATGAATAAACCCATTAATTTTTTTAGAAATTGCTTTGCCTCCGTTCGGATTCGAGCAGATATAGATTTTTCGAGAATATAATCTGCGAGAAAGGGGGTGAGCTTTCCTTAAAACACACACACACACACACACACACACACATATATATATATATATATTGCACATGGGTGTCAGTTATCTCTTTAATTCAGCTCTCCAAGTTCTCCACTGCCTTTGTCCAGGTAAAGAATGAACTCACACACTCTTTGGGTCTTGTCACTGGACACATGGCACAATAGATAAAGGCATTGGTTAAATCCAGTAACAGGACCCAAAGTATATTCAATACCTGGTTAAGGCAGTATGATATATGGATATATATAATTAAAAGGAGATAACTAAATGGTGTATCAAAATAATTTTACAAGTATTACCAAAACAAGGACAAAATATCCATATAAACATATGCACTTTGTTTCTGAGTTATTTTGTTTAAAGAAAATTTACGATAGATGGCGCTGTGTTGTCATGTAGACTAGGTTACATTTGTCATTCGTGTACATTTCTGGATAGTCTGTCTTCAACGTTTAACGTGTGTAGTAGTGAGTTAACTGAGAAGTGTTCCGTTTAACAATGGCAGGATATTATTTATATGGTGAGCAGGCAGATTAATTTTTACATACGGCCGCGCGAATGGTAATGGATGCGAGGCTGTACGGTTGTATCAGATTGCGTTTCCAGGATACATTCTACAGGCTGTCGCAGATGATCCAGGTATCATCTCACATCGACTTTGACCTAGCATATCATACTGCATGGAGGGTACTTCAAGAGCAGCTCCTGTATTCGTATCAATTGCAAAGTGTAGGGACTTTCATCCTCTGATCACTCACCACTGGAGAACTTTTGCCGATGGTTTATTTCACAAACTGCCAGTCCGTTGTTTCTCTCTTCAGTCTTGTTTACAGATTAGGCAACAGTTGGAAGAGATGGAATATCGAATTTACACAACCAACATTTGTGGGCGGATCGGAATCTCCATTGTACAATCCAGGCTAGACGCCAACATCATTTTACGATTAATGGAATTGTAGGTAACTCTGGTAGATCCATATGTTATCCCAACACGTCTTACAGGAGCTGTCTACAGGGATTTTATTTAGAACACACATCCAGACCTGCTAGAGGATGTACACTTGTTAATACGAAGATGTATGTCGTTCATGCATAATGGGGTTCCTGCACATTTAAATCAGATTGTTCCTGTTTCATTGGCTGACGTCTATCATGAAAAATGGATAAGTAGAGAAGGACCGGTCCCATCGCATGCATGTTCCCCGACATCAATTCCTTTGGATTTTTATCTGTGAGGCCACTTAAAACGATTGGTTTATGCAGGGACATTAATAATGAAGAGACGCTTCATCAACATGTCATAGGGGCCTGCGAAATCATTCGAAACCGTGTAGGAGTATTTAAAAGGGTCCGCCAGTCAATGGTCTGATGTGCGCATGCGTGTATATAAGTAATAGGAGGACATTTTGAGATACAACGATGGCCTTTTGGAAATATGTTTATATGGATATTTTACCTTATTTTACTGCCAGGAAGCCTCCCCGAAATTTGTGAAAGTATTTTGGATTGTATCTTGAATTGTATATTCAACGACATTTACCGTAAGCTTTAAACTTAAAAACTCAAAAATAGAGGGTTTGGGGATATGTATTTATGTAGACTTTTGTCCTTGTTTTGGAGTGAGTCCTCCTCCACAATGTTTGTAAATTTATTTATATATATATATATATATATATATATATATATATATATATATATATATATATATATAAATAAATACAGTCCTAAGATGTGCTATATTTATGGGGTAAAATGCTCAATATCAGAGATAGAGCGTGTGTAAATATAAAAGTGAACATAGAAGTCAACACTTAGAGGGGACAGTCAATTTCATGCTAGATGCAATCGTCAGGCCACGATTGCATATCGCATGAAACAGACTGTATATATATATATATAT